GTGCAGGCATGCATGCATGCATGCATGCATATGTGTGTGTGTGTGCGCGCACACGCGCACACCACAAAAAAAAAAACTAACTAATTTTCCCTGGATTTAGAGCATTTAGTGTGACTTCATTAACATTTTAAGTAAAGTGTAAATTAACTATGGCTTCTAAAGCAAGTGGTGGTGCCAAGACAAAATGTATGGCTCTCAGTGTTGAGAAACTTTAATTAATGAAGAAGGTCGAGTCTTATGTCTCAGTGGCATGGATATGTGAGGAATATGGTGTAAAGAAACAGTGTTTGATATATGTAGAAGCAAGATCAAACTTACAGACTATGCTCTTAAGTTCAGTGTAGATCCTAGCCATAAAGGTTCAATAGTTAGTCCTAGAACAAATATTAAAACGGCTCATGGTCGTGGCAGTTTATACCTCATCTTTCCACTATGAAAAGGCAAGTAAAAGTAGTGTATATTACATAGAGTACCACAAAATTACTAAAAGGTACATTACTGTACTGTAGTAATACAAGTTATAAAACCAGTACAGTGGACCCTCGGTTTTCGTGATTAATCCATTCCAGAGTCTGCTGAAAACCGAAATTCATGAAAACCGAAACCATTTTCCCCATAAGAAATAATGTAAATCCAATTAATCCGTTACAGACACTTAAAAGTATTAACAAAAAATAATTTTTTTAGATTAAATATAGATTTGCATACAGAAAAGAATGAAAAATCAATATAAAGCAATAATAACAACACACTTACCTTTATTGAAGACTCATGTTGGTGTATGGAAGATGGGAGGAGGGGAGAGGGAGAAGTTACTATTGTTTGGAAGGGGAATCCCCTTCCATAAAGACTTTAGGTACCGAGTCCTTATCTGGGGTTACTTCCCTTCTTTGTTTTTTAATGGCACTAGCACCAGCTTGAGAATCACTGGACCCCTGTTGCTTAAAAATTTTTTCCAGAGAGCTCTGTCTCTGGCGTCTCTAAAGATTTGCCTAAAATGGGACACGGCATTGTCACTGAACATGTCACAGACACTGCCTGCAACAGCTTTGTTAGGGTGATGTTCCTCCACAAATGTTTGCACCTCACTCCACTTTGCACATCTGTTGCTGTTGCAGATGAAGGTCTTTCAGCTCTTCAGTGGTTAGCTCTTCATGAACTGTGATCCTCCACCAACTCTTCCACATCCTCGCCACACACATCCAACCCCATGGAATTCCCCAATACCACAATATATTCCACAACATCTCTCTTGGACATCCTGGCAAGCTCGGCCATACATATGCCACTTTCACATTTTTCTATGATTCTTTCTTTAATTCTATAATGTTTTTCACCTTCTCACCAAAGGGTTGGAACAAGGAGCTTTCTTTGGGTCCATGGTGGCTTATTTAGCAGTTGCAAGCACAAAAAACAATAGATTATTACGAAATGTTTCGTATGAACGTGGGGGGGATGGATGCTCACTTGCTGAGAAACAATGCCAGACTGACTCTGAATGCATCTGTGAGAGGCTTTGTGTGCACGTGGCCACTGGGATATGTTCCATATGACCACTGAAATCCAAGGGAAATCACGAAAACCAAGGCTATATTTTGACAAAAAAAGTTGCCGATAACCAAAATTCACGAAAACTGACTCACGAAAACTGAGGGTCTACTGTATTCTTAGTGTCCGGTTGTCCTCTGCAACACTGGACCAGGTCCACTACTTCAGAAGATAACAGGACCATCGTAAAATATTAATTTCGTAATTCAGGAGTTGAGGACACTCGGCAATATTGTACATTCCCTTCCCCCTATTAGTCTGTTAAAGTTCTTAATGTGCTCCCACCTACTGGCTCAGAATTACTACAAATGTTACACAAATAACCCTCACATAGAAGAGGGGAGTTTACGATGATCCTTCAGTCCGACTTGGACCATTTACAAAGTCACACTGTGTGACTTTGTAAATGGTCCAAGTCGAACCAAAACGTCGTCGTCAACTTCTCTCTTCTATGCGCAGGTTATTTGTGTCTTGCTCCAGTCACGGTATTGTGCCTTATATTGTTACTACAAATGTCCCTAAACAACACATTTTGCAATTTTATTCAACTCCCAAGAAATCACTTGATATAGCATCAACTGATTCTATCAATCACTTCCAAAACTTTACAAAACCTAAACAAACTGTCACCAAATTTACTCTTGTTCTACTCCACACATTAGCTCTCAGGATGAAGATGGAGTTACCTTTTCTGCTTCTTGCTTGCGTCCTGGCACAGACTCATTGTGTAGCTCTCTTATAAGTGTGTTGATCAAAGCTGTCACCATGGTATCAGCAATCATTTTGCGCTCATCGTCATCGCTGTTTATCAACTGCTTTAACTTAAGGTTACGATGCTCAACCTACAATAAAATATATAGGGACTGTTAAATTTTGTTTAAACACGTGAGAAAATATTTGTGCAATGGCAACTTTTTTTTCCCTTAAACTATACACTTTTTTCACAGTTAATTTACCTGAGTAGCTAATTTAACAAGTAGACAATAAGTAAATTTGTCTAAGTGGGTGGTGTGACCCTGGTACTGCATGAAATTAATCTCATCTGTTGATGCAGTAGTGGGAGGGGTTTCCTCCTTGTGGCCAGTCATGATCATGGCTCTCACAGCTGCCCAGTCATTCAGCAGGCGCTCCAAGGCCCGCCGACTAAACTTAGGTGGTTCCAGATCATGGTCAGGAACCTCCATATTGACTACATCTGACAGAGCATTCTTACGCGTTGATGATGATGAAGAGCGACATCTGAGGTGAGAAATATAACACATTTATTAAACAAAAATATTTCTTCAAAAATATTTTGGCAAGACTTTTCTAAATGTAATAATACTGTACTGATGGAAAATTATCAAGAAACAAAAATAAATTATATAGTAACTTGAATAACTAACAATTGTCCTTGATAGAGCAGTACATAAAATATAGTAGTAAATCTGAAGTCACTTTCTATGAATCCTGGGCTAGAAGATGAACCAAAAACTGAATGGTTAACTAAAATTTTATCATTACCAAAAACCTTCACGCCACTATAATGAGGAGAAACTCAGTATGAGGAAACTGAAAAAATGCAGAAGAGGACTAAAATTCATAATACGCATCTAAAATGACATTAGTATCATTAAAGGAAACTAGTAGTGCTACACACTAATAAATCATCTACATCATTATCTAAAGTTACTTCACAGATTTTACGTAACAAACAAACCACTTAAACTGAAACAGCACAAATATCATTATTCTTTATATCAGAAAATGGAAGGAGAAAAGAGAATATGAATGTGTAAATTCAAGAATTATGTGGATTAAACTAAAGGTTGGATGTGAAAAGTGGGTCATAATAAGCGTGTATGCACCTGGAGAAGAGAGGAATGCAGAGGAGAGAGAGAGATTTTGGGAGATGTTAAGTGAATGTATAGGAGCCTTTGAACCAAGTGAGAGAGTAATTGTGGTAGGGGACCTGAATGCTAAAGTAGGAGAAACTTTTAGAGAGGGTGTGGTAGGTAAGTTTGGGGTGCCAGGTGTAAATGATAATGGGAGCCCTTTGATTGAACTTTGTATAGAAAGGGTTTAGTTATAGGTAATACATATTTAAGAAAAAGAGGATAAATAAGTATACAAGATATGATGTAGGGCGAAATGACAGTAGTTTGTTGGATTATGTATTGGTAGATAAAAGACTGTTGAGTAGACTTCAGGATGTACATGTTTATAGAGGGGCCACAGATATATCAGAGCACTTTCTAGTTGTAGCTACACTGAGAGTAAAAGGTAGATGGGATACAAGGAGAATAGAAGCATCAGGGAAGAGAGAGGTGAAGGTTTATAAACTAAAAGAGGAGGCAGTTAGGGTAAGATATAAACAGCTATTGGAGGATAGATGGGCTAATGAGAGCATAGGCAATGGGGTCGAAGAGGTATGGGGTAGGTTAAAAAATGTAGAGTTCAGCAGAAGTTTGTGGTTACAGGAAAGTGGGTGCGGGAGGGAAGAGGAGCGATTGGTGGAATGATGATGTAAAGAGAGTAGTAAGGGAGAAAAAGTTAGCATATGAGAAGTTTTTACAAAGTAGAAGTGATGCAAGGAGGGAGAGTATATGGAGAAAAAGAGAGGTTAAGAGAGTGGTGAAGCAATGTAAAAAGAGAGCAAATGAGAGAGTGGGTGAGATGTTATCAACAAATTTTGTTGAAAATAAGAAAAAGTTTTGGGAGTGAGATTAACAAGTTAAGGAAGCCTAGAGAACAAATGGATTTGTCAGTTAAAAATAGGAGAGGAGAGTTATTAAATGGAGAGTTAGAGGTAATTGGGAAGATGGAGGGAATATTTGAGGAATTGTTAATGTTGATGAAGATAGGGAAGCTGTGATTTTGTGTATAGGGCAAGGAGGAATAACATCTTGTAGGAGTGAGGAAGAGCAGTTGTGAGTGTGGGGGAAGCTCGTGAGGCAGTAGGTAAAATGAAAGGGGGTAAGGCAGCCAGGATTGATGGGATAAAGATAGAATTTTAAAAGCAGGTGGGGATATAGTTTTGGAGTGGTGTGGTGCAATTATTTAATAAATGTATGGAAGAGGGTAAGGTACCTAGGGATTGGCAGAGAGCATGCATAGTTCCTTGTACAAAGGCAAAGGGGACAAAAGAGAGTGCAAAAATTATAGGGGGATAAGTCTGTTGAGTATACCTGGTAAAGTGTATGGTAGAGTTATTATTGAAAGAATTAAGAGTAGACGGAGAATAGGATAGCAGATGAACAAGGAGGCTTTAGGAAAGGTAGGGGGTGTGTGGACCAGGTGTTTACAGTGAAACATATAAGTGAACAGTATTTACATAAGGCTAAAGAGGTCTTTGTGGCATTTATGGATTTGGAAAAGGCGTATGACAGGGTGGATAGGGGGGCAATGTGGCAGATGTTGCAGGTGTATGGTGTAGGAGGTAGGTTACTGAAAGCAGTGAAGAGTTTTTACGAGGATAGTGAGGCTCAAGTTAGAGTATGTAGGAAAGAGGGAAATTATTTCCAGTAAAAGTAGGCCTTAGACAAGGATGTGTGATGTCACCGTGGCTGTTTAATATATTTATAGATGGGGTTGTAAGAGAAGTAAATGCGAGGGTCTTGGCAAGAGGCGTGGAGTTAAAAGATAAAGAATCACACATAAAGTGGGAGTTGTCACAGTTCCTCTTTGCTGATGACACTGTGCTCTTGGGAGATTCTGAAGAGAAGTTGCAGAGATTGGTGGATGAATTTGGTAGGGTGTGCAAAAGAAGAAAATTAAAAGTGAATACAGGAAAGAGTAAGGTTATGAGGATAACAAAAAGATTAGGTGATGAAAGATTGGATATCAGATTGGAGGGAGAGAGTATGGAGGAGGTGAATATATTCAGATATTTGGGAGTGGACGTGTCAGTGGATGGGTCTATGAAAGATGAGGTGAATCATAGAATTGATGAGGGGAAAAGGGTGAGTGGTGCACTTAGGAGTCTGTGGAGACAAAGAACTTTGTCCTTGGAGGCAAAGAAGGGAATGTATGAGAGTATAGTTTTACCAACGCTCTTATATGGGTGTGAAGCATGGGTGATGAATGTTGCAGCGAGGCGAAGGCTGGAGGCGGTGGAGATGTCATGTCTGAGGGTAATGTGTGGTGTGAATATAATGCAGAGAATTCATAGTTTGTTGTCCAGAGGGCTGAGGAAGGGTTGTTGAGGTGGTTCGGATATGTAGAGAGAATGGAGCGAAACAGAGTGACTTCAAGAGTGTATCAGTCTGTAGTGGAAGGAAGGCGGGGTAGGGGTTGGCCTAGGAAAGGTTGGAGGGAGGGAGTAAAGGAGATTTTGTGTGCGAGGGGCTTGGACTTCCAGCAGGCATGCGTGAGCGTGTCTGACAGGAGTGAATGGAGACAAATGGTTTTTAATACTTGACGTGCTGTTGGAGTGTGAGCAAAGTAACATTTATGAAGGGGTTCAGCGAAACCGGCAGGCCGGACTTGAGTCCTGGAGATGGGAAGTACAGTGCCTGCACTCTGAAGGAGAGGTCTTAATGTTGCAGTTTAAAAACTGTAGTGTAAAGCACCCTTCTGGCAAGACAGTGATGGAGTAAATGATGGTGAAAGTTTTTCTTTTTCGGGCCACCCTGCCTTGGTGGGAATGAGCCAGTGTGATAATAAAATAAAAAATCAGAAAATAGTTTTAATTTTGCACTGTTTGCTGCTGCTTATCATGCACAGTTCACATTAATACCACATTTTATTAGTCTTATTATATCTGCCCCTCTTTTTTGACTGCTTCCTGCTTGCCCTATCCTCAAACTCTTGTGATGTTTCCTTCAACAAATACTGTACAGGATTAACATCCATTTTTAATTCCATAGACTACTGTCATTTCCTATTCCATCAAATTTCCTAACACCACACATGATCATTAAATTGCCCATCCTGCATTTTCAAACTAGGCTTAAGGTGTAATGAAAGCAAATGCTTTTCTCAAATTACGCACCTGAGATATTTAACCAAAAACACTGAATTTCATTCTATAACTACTACCACTACATTAAAAATATATCTTTCAGTGTCTGCCAGAACTTCATTTGCATCATTAGGTTAAATACTGCCATACAGTCATGACACACACCTGTAACACTAGACAATACATTTTTTTTTTTTCAACAAGTCGGCCGTCTCCCACCGAGGCAGGGTGACCCCAAAAAAAAGAAAGAAAATCCCCAAAAAGAAAATGCTTTCATCATCATTCAACACTTTCACCACACTCACACATAATCACTGTTTTTGCAGAGGTGCTCAGAATACATTCACCTAATATTAATAATATATTCATGAGACAGCGCTAAACCTGTAGGAGTCATGCGATATCTGGGTAATGCACTGTTTTTTTAAGGGTTCTGCCTAGTACCCACAATTATTACAGTAGAAGTAGCTGGATCCTTGGACATTGTTGACAGCTCATAGAATAATAATATTAAATGATACACTGGCTCAAGTAATTCAAGTGTCCTAAGTTATCTTAACAAAACATAACAGAGCAAGGCCATACCTGGCTCGGAAGAATGATTAGGTACTGCAAGCATCTTGTAGTTTTTCTTCATTTATATCACACGAAATGTCAAAGCCTAGCAAAGAAATATTAAATATAACTCAGCCCTGGAGTCCAATGGAGTCAACAGAGGTAGTTATTTCTATGTTGTCATGATCACAAACTTTTCTCCCGACACCCATGAACAATTGTCAAACATATCACTGGCATATAAAACTTAAATGAGAAGATGTGAAAGTAGTTTACAAAATATAATAAGTATAAGAATATCTGATACTTATTATATTAGAAGGCTATGCGAGGTGATTACGAAAACACTGAAAATGAGAAATCTTGCTGTAATGGTAGTGTGGCATAAATAGTGAGGAAGTAAGAGTGAAGATGGTAAAAGGGAGAGATGGACTACAGTAAAAACTGATCAAATGGCACATAAACTACTGGAAGAATCATGTTCATTAAAACAAAAAGACTTTCAGAAGAATTACTGTGGACTGGGTTCAGTATCAATGTGCATAATTACCTATTCATACCTACAGGTTCAGAGCCAAGTTTGTGGGGTCCAATGATCACTGGCACTTAAATCTATTGTGCATTCTTTAACTTCCAGTGATTGTAGCACTTCCTACCTTCTTTAGTAATCAATTTCGTTGTTCTAAATCTCGCTAGAAACCTTTCAAGTGAACACAAATAGAGATATTGACCTCCTCTGGCTTACAGGCTCAGTAAGCCCCATAATAGTATGGAAGAAGCTGTTCACAAGACTTTAGAAGGGAACACTGGGCTATACTGTACAGGAACAATCCTGCCTTATGAGAAAGAAGCCTTACACTTACTTTGGCAAGTACAGTATTAGGTACACATTTCTAGCTCTAGATAGCAAAACTACCCTTGAACACTTAAGAGAAAACGTCTTCCTAGTAACATGTAGCACCAACAGAACAATTACTTATGTTCCTTTTTTTTTTTTTTTTTTTTTTTTTGAGAAAGTCCTATTTGCCATCTATATACACTTTCTATTGTAAACCATAAACTAATACATTTAATGGAAGCTGTTAACTGCTCAACAGAACAAAACACAACTTACCTAGACCACTGCTTCTGTTCTGTCACTTGGCGCCCAACAGTTTGTACAAGAAAAAGAAGAAGATTCTCCCCCCTTCCATTGGCAATGTTCACAAGATCTGTTTCTGTTATGAGACGTGACAAAAGATCAAAACGCGCAGTCTGATGACCAGATTTGAGGGCTTTGCATTTGCATTTCTCCCAGCAATCACAGTATGCAGTTGGGGAGGTTTTCTTAAGCTTGCAGTCATGACCCTTATGGCAAACTCGTGCACACTCTGTACAACAGCACAGGGACCCTACAAGCCCACAAGTCCGGCATTCAAAAATGTCCTGGTTAATGTGTTCAGCTCCTGTCCAGGTAAAGGAGCAAGTGTCATTATAGCAAAGAACATGAAGAGGGGAATCATCAGGGTTGCTACCTCTGGGAAATATCATTTGGGTGACAGCCCGACGCTCACTTTCAGCGTCTATGGCACTGTCATGAGCTACACGATGTATCACATCAAAAAGGATTAGGGCTGCCTGGTATGCTCGGCCAGAAACAGCCAACATGAAAGGTGTAAAACCATTAGAATCACGAGCAACTAATAAACTACGCAGATGTTGCGTCAGCGCAGGACTGTCACAGATTGTTCGAAGTATGGTTAACGAGTAGGATCTGCGTTCATTTGGGTCCGAAGAACCTAGTGTTGGCATGCTAGGTCCTGGTGTGGTTTTGGAAGAGGACGGGGTCATAAGGTCATCATCTGGTCCAGCTGCATTAGTAGAGTCATTCAGCGTGTCTGAGGAACTTGGTGGCCAAGCAAAAGTGCCTAAGATTGGGTCTTTCTCTAACACTGACTCCCCTTCGGTTTCTTTACTTGTAACTGGACAACAAGTGGATATACAAGCATGAAGAATGTTACGATTTCCATCACACTTCTCCTCAACTATTGACTCGGTTGTTAAACTTGAAACACCATCTGAAACAAAAGACACTATTATTATTACATTTATAAGGGCTAAACCAGTAGGTAATCAGGTTTGATCCAAAGAATTGCAAGGGGTACCTAAAATGTCCAAACCACCTCAACAACCCTTCCTTAGCCATCTGAATAATACTTTTAGTAATTCCGCACCTTCTACTAATTTCCAAGCCACGTGTATAAGTGTATATAAATTTGTAGAACATACCTGGAGTATCATTTTCAATGAGTGCCAAAACTTGTCTAACACCTTCAGGGTCACACCGGAGTATTTTGGGCATCAGCGTTTGAGTCTTGAGCGCTAGGACAAGCAAGGCAACATGATTCTTTTGATGGGCACCTGCCCCATGCAGGAAGTGTGTGGCCACTCCTAAGCAAGACACAGGTGGTAAGTCCGGCCAGTGAGGATCCTTGATCGAGTCCACACAGTCCTTACTAAGGGGGTATATTGTGCTGTTCCCATCACGCAGTACACCTACATTCTCACTCTAGAAGTTAAATGGAAGTATATCATTCACACCTTATGGATCTTCAGGAACATATGACCATTCATGTTAAAATTAGGCATTCTGTATATATATGTAGCTATAATACAGAGGTAACAATATAATATGCAGAGAACAAGGAATGACAGAAGGTGTGACAGTAGAGTATAATTAAAAAAGCAGAGTTGTTGAAATAGTGGTGGTGGTGTAGAAAGAATGGAGCAAGATGAGTTGATTAATGGAGTCATTCACTGCTATGGTGATGGTTAAAAGGGGCAGACTTTTCTTAGGTAAAATTTCCATATAATATTAGGGCTACTAGGCTAGTTTACAATAAAAAAAAATTATTCTCATCTGAGCAATAATTTTGAAAACTTATTCAGTTTAGTATAAAAACTGAGACTTCCCTTCATGCACAAATAAGTGACCAAAGAAATGCTCAACCTCTTTAGTACATCAAATTTGCTATATAGTACTGAAATACCATTTAAAGCATTAAAAATTCATATCTGGGAGAAAGATCTCAAGTTTTATTTTAAGAAAACAAAAACAAATCCACATGTTAAAATTTCAAGCATATATAGTTCTGCACGGTAAACATCCAGAGTATACACTCGCTCACTCTCTCTGTCCCACAAAAACATAATGTATGTACATTTCAAACAGTAATGACCCAGAGTACATTCACATGAAACCATGAAACAAAGATACAATATTACAGCCAAATTGATCTGATATTGCTAAGCATACACACAGATGACAGTTGAGGGCTGCCATGCAGCTAACACAAATGTTCCACTTCTCCATTCATCACTACTTAATCAGCCCCTCAGGTATAGTGTGAAGAGGAATAGAGGATGAGGAAGACAAAGAAAGGGAGACATAAAAGAGGGGAAAATGGAAGAGATACAAGAAGGATAGGTAGACTAGAAGTTGTAGAATTAGATAGAAAGGGAGGATTAGATGAATAGAGAGAGATAGATAGAGAGAGAGAGAGAGAGAGAGAGAGAGAGAGAGAAGAGAGAGGAGAGAGAGAGAGAGGAGGGGGGGAGAGAGATAGATAAGAGAGATAGAGAGAGAGAGAGAGAGACAGACAGAGAGAGACAGAGAGACAGACAGAGAGAGAGAGAGAGACAGACAGACAGACAGAGAGAGAGACAGACAGACAGAGAGACAGAGAGACAGACAGACAGAGACAGAGACAGAGAGACAGACAGAGACAAACAGAGACAGAGACAGACAGAGAGAGAAAGAGTACTGAATGGAAATGTGATAGAATGGAAAGGGAATGAAGTGGATAGAGTGGAAGGAAAGGGAATAAAGAGGAGTGGATGCAGATGTAGGTGAAGGATAGAGGGGGGAGGTTAAAAAGGAAGTGGAATAAAGAGAGTGGATGGAGAGGAAGGAAAGGATGAAGAGGAGACAAAGGAAGGGGGATGCAGAAGAAAGGAAAATAATGTACATAGTAGGTAGTTTATAAAACATAAATATATTATATATATAGTGTTCAACAAAATTGGAGTAAGAGACAATCATTAGACATTTTCGTATAATCATTTATCAACATACCTCTCCTGTTATTGTTAAGGATATGCTAGAAGGCTCAGATCCCATAAATGCTGTACTATCAGTAGGGAACACACATTCCTGCTCAGCCTTCCCAGAACTCAGATTGTAAATGACGTAAGTCAGACGACTTCCATTCTTAACGATGGCATGTATCCCTATTGAAAAAATACCCATGCAAAAAGAAAAAAAATGACGTTTAACTTCATGGCTTAAATTTTAAAATTATCAAATGTTACACACTTACATCCTACCCTAGCAATACCAAAAATTCATGGTATAGAGTAGATAAATAATTAGTAAGAGTACCCACTGCTTAGGAAGTTTCATCACCTTCATGGAGTGGCAAGGTATTGGCTAAAAAAAAGAAAATTATGGAAAAAGAATTGATACACTGTACACTAAAACCTCAAGGAAAAATTACAAATTTCTATGTTTACAACTATGAGGTTTTGCACCTTGAACAGCTAAATTTGTTCTAAAGACTAAAGCAACACCAGTCTATGCTCTAGAGTAGCGGTATTTAACCTCTGCTTACTGGCAGGTACCCTCGAGCTAGCTAACAAAACTAATAACCCCCATCCCATATTAATAATAATAAAGTTGTGGGCTATTCTAGAAACTAGCTAAAAAAGCAAATTACACTACTTTCCAAGTTAACAGAGCTAAAAAAATTAAGTATCATTGTACCTCTACCATCCACTGCCACAGTTAGGATTTGGCCTTGCTCTGTCACTGGAATACGCTTGGGTGTTTTCTGATAACAGTCTGGAACACGAGGATTTCCCCCAGCACGAATCACTTGCAACTGATCTCGGTGGATCACACGTAGGTTACCTTTACCCTCCTTCGTCTGAGGTACCACAACCACCTGTAAAGAGTGACGTGTAATTTTCAAATCAGTCTTTCATGGGAAACTAACAATCTGATGTAAATTTAAATTAATCTGCATTTCCATTGCTTTCTTGCATAATGTATTTCATCATCAAGGTAGCACAGCAAATTACCTGTCCATGATTTTGATGATCTGGAATACAAGTGTTTGAGAGCTTTAGTTCTTGAGCCATTTTATCTACTTTTCTCCTGAATTACAGGCAAGATTGGCTCATAGTTCAATGAACGCATTTATTATTTTTTAAGAAAAATATGTGGTGATGTATTTTTCAAAAACAACTGTACATGCCAAACTGTACACACACAACTGTTCACCAAATGTGAATATATAAAAATCCATTTTTTTCTAAGGAAGTAATAACACGTGACAGTCAAATAACAGAGCTGCAATACATAGCATGCTCGATCCCCTTTACTATAAAACTAATGCATAAAAATGAGCAAAGTAAGATAACCCCATAGAAAGAAAAGACTTACTTGATTCCCATCAACAGCAAGAACCTCCCCAATTGGTACTGGTCTTGTATCCTCTACAAATATTACATCTCTCAAAGGCCATTCTTCCTCATCAAATCGCTCCATTTCATCACGAGGCACTGGTCGTTTTCCACGTTTGTATGAAGCAGGAGATGTTATTGATCCTAATTAAACATTAAAATGTTATTTTGCTGCACTTAAAACTAAACTAAACCTTTATACAAGTCAAATTACTTGTCACAATTTGTCATCAAATAATCAAATCTTAAATTTAAAAAGCATGACAAAATAATGCATATCACTATTAGCATTAATAAAATTTAATGTATAAATATGATTCAGACCTTGCTAGAAGAAGGTATGCTTTCAAATATTTACACTTTGAAATAGAAAACACTAGTAAAAACCTAGAAAATTTGGCATCAGAGACCTGTGTCTGAGCAAGTACTGGATGCAGGAGATGGTGGGGGTGGCATGTCCAACTTATCAGAAGATTCCTTGCTATCCCCACACTTCAGTATTTTGGTTGCTGACCCCAACACTTCTGATGACAAGGTTTTCTTTTCCCCTCCACCACTTCCACTATTGTTAGTGATACTGCTACCACTGCTGTTGTTCGTTATGCCACTACAAAAATTATTAAAAGAAGGTTACCAACTTCCTTTCAACATCAATACATACAATATGCATGGCTTATATGAATCAAAGTAATTATTCAACAGCACTAACATTTTTGAAGTGCAGATTTTTTTTTTTAATACATCGGCCATTTCCCATCGAGGTAGAGTGACCCAAAAAAAAAAAAAAAAAAAAAAACCTTTCACCATCATTCACACAATCACTGTCTTTGCAGAAGTGCTCAGATATGACAGTTCAGATGTCACTACAAACAACAAATATCCAAAACCCCTCCTTTAAAGTGCAGGCATTGTACTTCCCACCTCTAGAACTCAAGTCCGGCTAACCAGTTTCTCCTGAATCCCTTCACACTCCAACAGCTCGTTAAGTCCCAAAAACCATTCATCTCCATTCACTCCTGTCTTAACATGCTCAAACATCCCTGCTGTATGTCCAAGTGTGTAGATACACACTTTAATTTAAATCTCTTTTCATTCTTTGATAACTTCTTAATTAAAACTGAAAAGATTTCTGTATGCATTTAAAGGTGACAATGTAGTCACTAACACCTAGTTTAGCCAATATAAGCAAATAGATGCACAGTACAGCATTTTCCTTGTACATAATACAATACAAACTACAGTGGTACCTCAGGATACGAAAATAATTCGTTCCAGAAAGCTGTTCGAGTGCCGATACCAAATGAATTTTTTTCCCATGAGGAATAATGTAAATTAGATTAATCCGTTTCAGACCCCCAAAAATGCACTTACGAAAGCACTTACATAAATACACTTACACAACTGTTCAAGCTTTGAGCTGTTCATATCCCGAGGTACCACTATTATTTTACAAAATAAAAGAAACATAAAAACTTTTAAGGTAGAAATTCAAAGAAAACCTATCTCACCTTTGTGTAATGGAAGAGCCGCTACTACTAGTCTGGAAACCTGAAGTGGTGCTGTTGCTTGACCCACCTACACCATTACCACCACCACTTGACCCTCCACTGTTGCCTCCACTTATCACCCCACCAGGAGGAAGAATTTTGAATCTGAAACAAACCATATCAAATCATGTTTTGCCATCATTTGTCAAATTAAAATTTTCAGCATTTTTGTTAATAAATCAAGAATATAATTCAATACACAAGTAACCTGCACATAGGAGAGGAGAGCTTACAATGACATTTCAGCCCGACTTGGACCATTTACAAAAATCACGCTGCTCAATTTTATAAGTGGTCCAAGTCAGACTGAAACGTCTTTTGTAAGCTCTTCTCTCCTATGTGCAGGTTATTTGCATATTGTTCCAATCATGGTATTGAGCCTTTTTGTTCAATATAGTTCCAATTATTTTTTAAATATAGGAAAATATATTATACAAGCTTTTCAAGACAAGGCATCTAGGCATTCAAAATGTATATGGTCAATACACATCTGTTTATAAAAAAAACTACACAAGCAAGAAAGATAAACTTCAGTATATGGATATAAAAAATACAAAATTTAACATAATTCATACATGTATTACTTTTCCCAGATAAGTCCTAGTGCTGCAAATTTATAGTGCATGATAGTGCCAAACAACAAATACATGTTTAAGTAATACCTGTAAAACTGAATATAAAAAATTAGCAAAGTAACAAGTAATGAGAAAATAAGAAAATACATTTTAATAAAACAATGAACACCCTTGAAAGGAATATTTACTAAGAGTCAAACAGACCTGCATGTATCACTGAGATTCCAGGCAGCATTCAGAAGCTGACCAATCTTGGGAACACCACCAGATGTTGAGAATGCCAAAGCTCCAGAGTGATACATCGGTGATGATCGCATTCCCACCTGCAATTTATGAACAATACTGTAGCTTATACCATATAACTCAAAGACCACAAATTCATGGCCCTTAGGATGCATTATACTTCAATGATATACAGATTGCACATAAAGGCTTATTTCAAATCAGGGTCAACTGACAATGATCATGATGTTAACAATAAATAAGTCATTGATTTTCAAGTTTATTTGGTTCAAATGCGAGTTGTTAAATACCCACTTCTGCTTTTTACTTTTTTTCAAGTGCAGCTCCATACAAATCTGAAATGTTAATATAACCCACTTGCACAAAATGGTTAGTCAGCCCTGCTGTAACTTCTTGATGGTACATAATTACTTCACTTCATGTGATATGTGAGAATTATACAGCTTTGTTTTTAACACTGCTGACTGTGGTAAAATAAACATTACATTTTAAATTGTTTTAAAAGAAGAAGTAAGCCAGTTAAAAATAGTGACTTACCTGAACTCCCTCTGTGATCTCTGAACGTTGTTTGCGACTTTTGCTGCGAAATTTTTCCCAAAGTTTTTTCCGTTGGTTAAATGGCAACACCCCCCACCAGAAGAGTGACCCAGATTCACACCAGGCACACGTGTACAGCTGACAAGTGTGAAGCGACAATATGCGGTCATTCTGTAACTAGAATTACAAAAAAAAGTTATAAATAAACCAAGCTATATTTTATGATTTATTTTATAAACAAGAGCACAAAGCATGAAGGGAACTTTGGAAAGTAATGAACATTCATTAGGTAGAATGACCAGTCACTTGTGAAAAGGTAGACTTGTAGGAAATTAAAGTGCATATTGAATATGAATAAAAATTTCTAAAAATTACCTGCCCTCTTTAAGTGATTACAATAAACAATAGATCAGCAATACTGCCAAAGTGCAAAACTCAACAAGCTTCCATTTTACATTCCTATGAGATGAGGATACCAAATAGGCAAGTACAGCAATTCATCATTAATAATAGTGCCTGGGGTATGGCATATAAATAAGTTTGATCCAAGGGAAGGGGAGGTCCAATTCCTTGTCCCAAGAGCACTTCACCAATATAAAGATATCTTCCATGACGTGAAGAATATATTTTAAACAAAGTTTTTTTGCACCATTTACACTGGAATGAAATTATGTATTTAGGATAAGCCAAGAACCCCAATATATAGAAAACTTTCAACCAAAAATATAATAAAGAACAATATAAAACAACAAATATGAATTTAAGTAGGCAGTTTACAACAGTCTTAAGTAAAAATAAAGCCCACTTACATTACTGTATAATGAAAGGCACTGTACATTTTCCCATAAATTCTGGGAAATTATACCTACAATAAGAAAAGACATCACAATCATACCTCTGGAAATGTTTGTGCAGGTTGTTCTAGTTTAGTAGCTACATCAGCTAAGGTCTCATCAAGCCAAGTAGCCACACGACCAGATTCTGTTGCAACACTGCACCTGACACCAGCAGCACTAATGGCCACCACTCTCTCCCCAGCTAGTCCAAGAGGCACTGCTTTTGGATGATGCACACTTGGTAGCTGATGCCCAGAAAGATAAGCCTACATTAATAAACATTAAAACACACTTGTCTTTTTTTTTTTTTAAACACAATGGCCATCTCCCACCAAGGTAGAGTGACCTGAAAAAGAAGAAACACCTTTACCATCATTCACTATCACTGCCTTGCCATGAGGTGCAAATACTTCAGTTTACATGTTTTCCAAAAATGTAGCAAACATTTAATAAATAATATAAATAAAGGGGTAAACAAAATCAGTTTAGAATTCAATACCTCAGGGTGCACGTAAGGATCTTTGTCTGCCCAACGCCACTGGTACAGCTGCCCTGTGGTAGACACGGCCACCAGTTCAGAATGGAGAGCAGCGATGTGTGAGAACCGTGGGACTGACTGGTTTCCTTGTCTCTCTGGCCAGTACTGCAGACTGTCTGCCACATCAATGGCATCTGGTAGAAGGGAATCTTTTTTCTTTCCCGTTTCTGTAACAGTTACAAAATTATTGCATTTGAAAACTAAACAGATCATTTCTATTAAAGATATTCTTGAGTTCACACCAACTTCTTGTGCTGCCATTGAATTATGTTTGTTTTTTTTGTCTATTTTTCTTCCACTAACAGTCATGTGCCAAGACAATAACAGTACAATAAGTTATTCATAAAAATATTTTTAAAATACCAGTGCAAGCTATACATTTACACTATTACGAAGAAAAAAGTGAAAACTGTTCATCTTAAATTTAAACATGGTAACAGTTACTATCACAAATCAGTGCCCTCTCCAAAACTCTGTATGTAGGTGTTAATACAACTTTGTAGCTACATTACAAATTTCTTTATTATATTCTCCCTTACATTTTTTTCATTGTCTTCCTCCTCTCCTTTATTTATGAAGACTTTTCATTCATTACTTTTTAAAGGTCAAATCCATAGCAGTATCATGCCTTTTACTGCTATGTTTAGAACAGGAGACTATAGACTAATGTAGTTATTTTAAAAAAATAAGTCATGACTCAGCTAGTTCAGTGGCTTAGGCACTGGCCGTGAGTTTTATGATTCGCTTGCCAGGGGTTCAAATCCCACCCGTTCCGTGGTTTGATTAAAAAATGTCATGTCTAAACACTAAGTGCACTCTGAGCACTGCGACACGAATCAAGGGCAATGGCATAACAACCAATGGGTTACCAGCCAGACTCGGTTGTTCACGTGGGAACATCATGACAATTTATGTCACACTTCTCAGATCAGGTGTCTTTGCAGATCTGGACTTTGAGTAGGTCTTAATTAACTATTTGAGCTAAGTGTGTTCATCACATTACTTTCTGTACCAGAGTATCATTATTTGTATAAGGACATAAGTATTTTTCAATCTGACTGGTTGTACTAAATGCTTGCTATAGGCCATCCCTCACAAACTCAAAAGTCCATCCTCATAATTTCTTTCTCATAACATATAAAACGTAAGTTGTAGTATAGATACTATGCACAGTCGTACTGGTAAAAGACAAAATGATTTTCACTTAATTATGTTTTTCACCTTAAATTTCAATCACAAATTATCCCCACAACTGAGGAACGGTTTACACCCTTCTATTAAAAGAACTTTGCTGTATTATTTTTCATCAGCTACAAAAAAAACAATTTTAAGTATACTTATCCCAAAACAAACAAACCTCATTTAGCTTATTCAGCCTGGTATAAACAAACCTGTATGGGGTTGCGTGACTCTAACCGACAGCAGCGCGTTCGAGAGCCACTTACGGGGTCCCGAGTAGTGACGGTCACGCCACCTAAGTTCTCTGTCTGCACGGTGTTCCGAGCCAGTAGATCCAGCAGAACCCTCACGATCTCTCTCACCTGCTCGCCCACGGCTTCCACCAGATCGACTGAAGATTTAAATGTCACCATATTAAGCTTGAGCATAAAAAAAAGGTGCAACAATCTTAGCATCTAGTGAAATCTAGTACCACCTCACCAAAAAGGCTATTCTGATAGAATTACTATGTAAGAAATCCCTTGCACAATCACCAATTATCCACTTGTGGACTGACATTTTCAAAGCAGTGTATAGAACTTCTTGTTTGAAGTTTGTAAGAATTATCCACAGTTCCCCTATTAAACAAAAGGCACAAACGGATTCATTCATAATCTAATTTTTTTTTTTTTTTTTTTTTTTCAACAAGTCGGCCGTCTCCCACCGAGGCAGGGTGACCCAAAAAAGAAAGAAAATCCCCAAAAAGAAAATACTTTCATCATCATTCAACACTTTCACCACACTCGCACATTATCACTGTTTTTGCAGAGGTGCTCAGAATACAACAGTCTAGAAGCATACACATATAAAGATACACAACATATCCCTCCAAACTGCCAATATCCCAAACCCCTCCTTTAAAGTGCAGGCATTGTACTTCCCATTTCCAGGACTCAAGTCCGACTATATGAAAATAACCGGTTTTCCTGAATCCCTTCACTAAATATTACCCTGCTCACACTCCAACAGATCGTCAGGTCCCAAGTACCATTCGTCTCCATTCACTCCTATCTAACACGCTCACGCACGCTTGCTGGAAGTCCAAGCCCCTTGCCCACAAAACCTCCTTTACACCCTCTCTCCAACCCTTTCGAGGACGACCCCTACCCCGCCTTCCTTTCCCTATAGATTTACATGCTTTCCATGTCATTCTACTTTGATCCATTCTCTCTAAATGACCAAACCACCTCAACAACCCCTCTTCTGCCCTCTGACTAATACTTTTATTAACTCCACACCTTCTCCTAATTTCCACACTCCGAATTTTCTGCATAATATTTACACCACACATTAATTTTTAAATGGCCTGAGGCTAGGTGGTTTCTACTATGTTTCACTGACAAATGAAGGTCTACGATAGGTCACTGATGTTGCGCGTTTTTGTCCTCAGGTCACATCAGTTCACTATCCACTGTAATATTACTCCACTTCCCCACCTACAGAGTTTATCAATGTGTAGTGTACCCTCTGTTTTTTGCCATGATGAACAACTTAGCTGCCAGAAGCAAGGTGCTAGTAACCCCCTTCTCCTGTATAAATTACTAAATTTTAAAAGGAAAAACTTTCGTTTTTCTTTTTAGGTCACCCTGCCTCGGTGGAATATGGCAGGTTCATTGGAAAAAAAAAATAGCTTAGTCTAGGGGTGTGGCAAAGTATGTTTTTATCTTGTATAACAGTATTACAAAAGGCCAGGGTTGGAAATTACATATCCAAATGAGAGAGATCTCAAAATAATTTCTTCAATTAAATTGTGGTAAAAAAGTGAAATGACCTGAGCAATGATACAACTGAAATTCATTCCATCAGATTTTCAAAAAGACATGACTGAGCTATTTGGTATCAGTCACACAAAAATTAAAAGGAAGTACCAAATGCTGGAGTTCAACCCCCATAAACTTTAACAGGTATACACATACATAAACTCCAGTTCCTAATCAGCAGAAATCACACTATTTTTAGCCTAGTAAAGTAAGACCCCTTGATTAAAAAAAAAGAAAATCCTGTAACCATTATAATTAACCTTTTCACTGTCAGTGCCGTAGTACTACGGCTTGAAAGCCAGTGTTGGTGTCGTAGTACTACGCCAAAATTCTAGCGGCTTCAAATCTAGCGGGAGAAAGCTGGTAGACCTACTTGTGAGAGAATGGGTCTGTGTGGTCAGTGTGCGCAGTATAAAAACAAATCGGGGAGCAAGTGGTGCATTATGGAAATGCCATTTCAGTAGTCCTTGTTCATGTTCACCATGCCTAGTGGTAAGAAATACTTTACTCCCCGGCAAACTTGGGACTCTTCCCTTCCCAAGTGATAGTTCTAACACAGATGGAAGTGCCAGTGAAGATGAATTTCATGGTTTTGAGGAGTTTGTGACTAAAAGCAATGCCCAGGACACCAGATACAGATAGTGAAAAGGGAAGACAGTGTGGGTGGTGGGGAAGGCAGCGTGGATGGTGGGGAAGGTGATGTGGGTGGGGAAGACAGCATGGGTGGTTGGGAAGACGGTGTGAAAGTTTATTCAGGTATACACGAATACAGATACATAGTAGTATGTGTAGAGAACCTAGGATAACCCAAAAAAGTCAAAGTGACTTATTTCCAGAATAGGTGGTGGGAAGACAGTGTGGGTGTGGGGAAGGCAGCATGTGTAGTGAGGAAGGCAGCAAGGGTGGTGGGGAAGGCAGCATGGGTGGTGGGGAAGGCAGCATGGGTGGTGGGGAAGGCAGTGTGGATAGTGGGGAAGATGGTGTGGGTGGGGAAGACAGCATGGGTGGTTTGGAAGATGTACACAAATACAGTTAGATAGATTATCATATATAGTAGCATGTGTAGAGAACTTGGGATAACCCAAAAAAATCAGAGACTTATTTCCAGAATGGGTGGTGGGAAAGACAGTGTGGATGGGGAGGAAGGCAGCATGGGTGGTGGGGAAGACAGTGTGGGTGGGGAAGGCAGCGTGGGTTTGTGTAAACAAGTTTTGTTAACAATATAATGATAACAATGTTCATGCAGTTATTGTGTTGCATACGAGTGGATATATATACACTATGCATTATATTGGTCTCTCAGACCACAAGAGTTACTTGAAAAAATAAAATATTAGAAACGAAAAAATAGAATAAAAGTAAAAACAATATTACTGAGTGAGCGGTAGTCGCCGATGTTGCCATAAGCAGTTCACTTTGTCAACTTCACATCTCTATATCTCGGAAAGTACTGATCGTAAATCCTTTTATTTCTTTTAAAACACTCAGAAAAGTATTCTCAAGATTTTGGTAAGAAAAAGTAATTTATAATATATATATATTATATATATATATATATATATATATATTATATATATATATATATATATATTTCAACACTGAGAGCAAGTTTGTGATCAGGGCTCTCGACAGTGAAAGGGTTAAAAATGCTACAAAAATACAATAAAACACTAAAAATACTACAAAAATGTGACAAACACTGCAGGAAAATAATGCAAGCTATTACAAAAACACTATAAAAACTTTAAAAACAATACAAACACTACAAAACAAAATTTACATTAACAAAATTTTTCCTTCACCTGCGAACTGAAGAATACCCAAACATATCATCGGAGAACATGGCATCTGCATCGATTATAACAGAGGGATGGTCGGCAGCAACAGAAATGCCAGCATCTAGGAGGGAAATGAGGTCTTCTGGCACATAGGAATCACCACTCTCCTCTGGCTCCTCAACGTCTTCATCGTCACGTGACAATAAATTGTTCACCGCCAGGTTCACATCAAGGTTGGTTCTCTGTTGTGGTTTATATGTATTATCACATATATTATAATATGATTAACACAAATACACACCCATTATACATTAAAAACCACGTTTTACATTTTAAGTATCGTACCTTTAAAAGAAATAAGGTTTTTACCCTTGACAACATATATACAAGAGTAAAAACCTTTAATATTAAGCTACAGAACAGGTTTCAGAGAAATGAGAAAATATTAATGTTCATAATGAATGATATATATACTTTCAGCACACACACGCATGCGCGCACACACACACACACACACACATGGTGAGGTGTCAGAGTGGGTGCCTGTAATAAGCAGGGTTCCACAGGGAATCAGTCCTAGGACCGGTGCTGTTTCTGGTACGTATTTGTGAATGACATGATGGAAGGAATAGACTCCGAAGTGTCCCAGTTTGCAGATGACTTGAAGTTGATGAGAAGAATTCAATTGGTCGAGGACCAGGCAGAACTACAAAGGGATCTGGACAGGCTGCAGGCTTGGTCCAGCAACTGGCTCCTGGAGTTCAACCCTACCAAGTACAAAGTCATAAAGACTGGGGAAGGGCAAAGAAGACAGCAGACAGAGTACAGTCTAAGGTGCCAGAGACTACAAATCTCACTCAAGGAAAAGGATCTTAGGGTGAGCATAACACCAGGCACATCTCCTGAGGCGCACATCAGCCAAGTAACTGTTGCAGCATACGGGCGCCTAGCAAACCTAAGAACAGTATTCCAACATCTTAATAAGGAATCATTCAGGACCCTGTACACTGTGTACGTTAGGCCCATATTGGAGTATACAGCACCAGTTTGGACCCAACACTTAGCCAAGCTCACAAGGAAACTTGAGAAAGTGCAAAGGTTCGCAACAAGACTAGTCCCAGAGCTAAGAAGTATGTCCTACAAGGAGAGGTTAAGGGAAATCAATCTGACAACACTGGAAGACAGGAGAGATGGGGGGGATATGATAACGGCATATAAAATACTGTGAGGAATCGACAAGGCGGACAGAGACAGGATGTTCCAGAGATGGGACACAGCAACAAGGGGTCACAGTTGGAAGTTGAAGGCTCAGATGAATCACAGGGATGTCAGGAAGTATTTCTTTGGTCACAGAGTTGTCAGGAAGTGGAACAGTCTGGGAAGTGATATAGTGGGGGCAGGATCCATAAAAAGCTTTAAGAAGCTGTATGATAAAGTGCATGGAGCAGGAAGAATGACCTGGTAGTGACCAGTGAAGAGGTGGGGCCAGGAGCTGTAACTTGACCCCTGCAACCACAACTGGGCGAGTACACACACACATTAAAATTACTTACACTGCATAATATTTTTTGCATTTTATTACTTAGCATGTTACAACAAAACACACTGAACTTTCATTTTCTGTTAATATGATATTAGCTTTCTATATGATAATAAAACAAAAATATATAAAGTAGATAAGCTTCTTCAACAACAATGCAAAAAAAATACACAGTATCTAGAATTGAAGGAGTGGAAATTGGTGAAAGATTACCAACATTCATCAAACCAAAATTTTAATATGCAATAGTAGTGTGGGGTTTCCACCAAGAAAATAAATGTGATTAAACTGAAAAGTTAACAAATTATACATAATGATTTCTCCAATTAAAAAATATATCATGAAGAGCAACTGAAAACCCTGAAAGTCTTCATTTCCTGATGGGAATTAAAAAGAGTGAACACTATGCAGCATAAAAAAAAAAAAAAAAAAAAAAAAAAAAAAAAAAAAAAAAAAAAAAAAAGAAGACACCATATAACTGATAAAGAATACTTCTTAGCACAATTAACAAAAACAATTGCAAACTGTGAAAAGTGCATACATACATACACACACACACACACACACACACACACACACACACACACACACACACACAGGAGCTCGGACTCGACCCCCGCAACCTCAACTAGGTGAGTACATACATACATGCACACTACATATACGTGCACACTACATATATGCATACACATGCACACTACATACATGCATACACATGCACACTACATACATATACATGCACACTACATACATACATATACATGCACACTACATACATATACATGCACACTACATACATACATATACATGCACACTACATACATACATATACATGCACACTACATACACACATATACATGCACATTACATGCATACATATACATGCACACTACATACATACATATACATGCACACTACATACACACATATACATGCACATTACATGCATACATATACATGCACACTACATGCATACATATACATGCACACTACATACATATACATGCATACTACATACATACATATACATGCATACTACATACATACATATACATGCATACTACATACATACATATACATGCATACTACATACATACATTATCTTGGACACCTTATTTCCTCTTGTAAGAAGAGGGATTCATTGAGGTGGTAGCTTACATTATTACTATTTTTAGTCTTCCTTAAATGATAAACTTTCTAAATTTATATTACCTAATATCAGATAAGCATTTGATAAGACATGAAAATCATAATTTAACAAATAACAACAATCATACCTGCAATTCCCTAATGATAAGGTTGCGGCTCCTGCCCTGAAGCACCACCTGGGCCTGCGATATCAGTTCCTCTGGGACATACTGTGCTGGTAACATGGGACGAGATGAGCCCATAATGACCCCAGCACCACGCCCACGCACTCCCCCAGACCCAGAGGTAGTACGGACAATGCGGCGGCCCCCAGTCGACATGCGAGCTGTCAACTTGGTGCTGCTCTGACTGCTGCTCTTGTTGCAGCTTCTGCCAAGAATAACACTGTCACACTTCATGGTTAATAAATACTTCACCCACCGCAATTTCTTGAAAAATCAGTAAAAGAAAATAAGCAAAAGTTCAGCACTGTACTATACAAAATTCAACATGAAATTTTATTACAAAAATAAAATTTTCCAATTCTAAAAAATATACATTCATGGGCTCTCCAAATACAGTGGACCCCCGACTTATGATATTAATTCATTCCAGAAGTCTGTTCGGGTGCAGTTACCGAACGAATCTGTTCCCATAAGGAATACTGTAAATTAGATTAGTCCGTTTCAGACCCCCAAAAATACACGTACAAAAGCACTTACAAAAATACACTTACATAACTGTTCGAGTTGGGAGCTGATCATAAGGAGGGGGTCCACTGTACTAGCTTTTAACATTCTAGACATCCGAAATACTAGAGTATGTATCTATACTTTATAAATTATTGAAAGTATTTGAGAGAATTACCTAGGAGGTATTAACAAACTCAACAGAAGATCGATATGAGAAATTCATATGCTATTGTGGCAAATTAAAAATTAGCTTTCAAATATATGTATAGAGAAGTTATAAACAGCTGTTTATATATATTAGGCTAAAATTATAATATGCAACAGATCTGTGATGACAAAACACCCACCCACCCACCCAAACACCCACCCACACATGAATAGTCTGGGAAGCGATGTAGTGGAGGTAGGAACAATACATAGTTTTAAGACGAGGTATGATAAAGCTCAAGGAGCAGGAAGTGGGAGGGCCCAACAGCAGTCAGTGAAGAGGAGGAGCCAGGAGCCGAGTATCAACCCTGCAGCCACAATTAGGTGAGTACAATTAGGTAAGTATACACACACACACACACACACACACACACACACACACACACACACACACACACACACACACACACAAAAAAAAAAAAAAAAAAAAAAAAAAAAAAAAGGTAAGCTAAAATCTAGAGAGCTATAAAAGGCTATTAGTGCAAGTTATGAGTCAAGACTGAAAACACTTAAGATACCTTCATTGACTAATTTAGAAGGAAAAGTGCAGACATATATCACAAAGGGTTTT